TAAAATGATCGATTTACTTAAAAATATATTTTTATACATGTGATGCAGAGAAATAGGAACCATTAAACTTTAATTAGAACTATTAAAACAATTTTTTGGGTATTAGTGTATAACGCGCCAACCATAAGGGAAAATATGGTAGTGTTTCTAGCTAACGAATATAATTTTTGCCATGGCTATCATGATATGCCAATGGATGGAGGTGGGCTATGGAGGTGAAGTTGGATGGTTGTGGAATCGCGATAGGCTGCAAGTAAGCCTCTTATAGGATTGAATTTAATTTGAATCTGATACAAGTCTAATTCAGCAAATTCGAATCCTTTCATGAATGTTCAACTTAAGAAAATCAAATTCTATTGGTTTGATTATTGTTGGATTGAAATCAAATGGGTCTGACCTGATTCAATTATCAATTTGATTTAATTTTCATACTTCAATTTTTATATGTATATATATGATTATTTTATTTTAAAAAATGGGCAACAACATTTAAAAATTTTAAATTGTAAAATTCAAACAAAAAGTAAAATATTATAATAAATCAGGTTGGGTTGAATAGTTGAATAGAGAAATTTTTTGTTCAAATGATCTTTTATCATGTTTTACATAACTAGATTAGGTTCAAGATTGACCCTTGGTGGAAGCAGAGCTGAAGTTAAAAAGAGAGATAAGAAGTGAAATGTGGAGGATCAGTAGAATGTTGGAATGGTCATGGTTGCAAAAGTCAAGATTGGAGTGGAACTTAAAAGGGGACAGGAACACTAGATTTTTTTCATATGATGGCTAGCAATAGGCAGAATAGGAATGCACTTAATTCTGTCTTAGTTGAAGGGATGGTGGTTGAGGATCCAGAGCAAGTGAAGCAGGAGGTATGGGCACATTTTAATAGGCACTTTTCAGAAGAATGGAGGATCAAACCTGTATTAATTGGTGACTTCAAGAGTGTTAGCTATAGTGATTGTTTTCAGTAGTTGGAAGTAGAGTTCTCGGAGGAGGAGGTATGGGCAGCAGTAAAAGAGTGTAATAGGAATATAACACCAGGTCCAGATGGTTTTAACTTAATGTGCTTTCAAAAGAACTGGAAGGTTGTTAAAGAAGAGGTGATGTATTTCATGAAGGAGTTCCACAGGTTAGGTAGTTTGGCTTATGGGATGAATAGCTCTTTTATCACATTAATTCCTAAGAAGGTTAATGTAGTCAATCTAAATGAATATAGGCCAATAAGCTTGATTGGGTCAATGTACAAGATTTTGTCTAAGGTTCTTGCAAGTAAACTCAAACCAGTTATGCCAAAATTAACTAGTGAAACCTAATTAGCTTTTTTGGGTGGAAGGAATATCTTGGATGGCGTTTTGATTACGAATGAAATTGTGGATGGGTGGAAGAAAGCCAAGAAGAAGGGGTTGTTGTTCAAACTTGATTTTGAGAAACCTTATGACTTCATCAACTGGGAATTTTTGTTTTCCATGTTATCAAATTTTTGGTTTTGGTTCTAAATGGATTTCTTGGATGAGGGAATGTATCTCCACTGCTAGAATTTCAGTACTTGTGAATAAGTCACCAACTGAAGAGTTTAGCCCACAAAAAGTCCTCAGACAGGGTGATCCATTATCACATTTTTTGTTTAATTTGGTAGCTGAAGGTCTAAATATTCTACTGTTTGGAGCAAAGGATATGGGTTTGATAAAAGGGATACATATTGGAGTTAATGGCGTGGTTTTATCACATCTACAATTTGCTAATGATTCACTACTATTTTGTGAATGATGTAAATGAGGTGATGAATATGAAAAGAATTTTAAGGTGCTTTGAAATGGTCTTAGGGCTTAAGATTAATTTCCATAAGAGTGTGGTTTGTGGGGTTGAAATTTTTGATAGTTTTCTTAAGGACTTTGCTTAATTGTAAAACCCAGAGTATACCACCGAAATTCTTTGGTCTACCATTGGGTACTTCTCCAAGAAGAAAGAAGTCTTGGAAACCTATCATTGATAAGATCAAACTCAGGCTTGCTGGGAGGAAAATGAGGCTCCTCTCTTTTGCTGGCAGACTGACTCTAATCAAATCAATGCTGTCTAGTTTGCTTGTGTATTATCTATCATTCTTCAAGATGCCAGAAGGAGATAGATTACAAGCAACCTTGTTGTGGGGAGGCACAGAATTGAAGAGAAAAATTCATTTAGTGCAATGGAATGAGGAGACTAAGAGTATTAATGAAGGTGGGTTGGGAATTAGGAGAATTAGAGAGGTAAATGCTTGCCTATTAATGAAGTGGTGGTGGTGATTTGCCAATGAAGAGGAGGCACTATAGAAAAATGTGGTTTGTAATAAATATAAAATTAAAGAAGGAGCATGGCTTCTAAATCAAACTATTGGCTTAAGATGGTCTTAAGTTATGGGGTGACATCCTAGTAGTGGCAGAACAAATAAACAATCTTTTTCAATTTTTTGTTAACAATTTTCAAATTAAAGTGGGCAATGGGAACATAGTGAGATTTTGGCATGATAAATGGTGTGGTGGCATTTGTTTAAAGGAGGTTTTCCCTAGACTTTACTTTATATCCATTGTTAAGAATGGTTCTCTCAAGTTATATGTTGATAAAAAAGGAAGCTCTGAGATGTGGAATCTCAGTTTAAGAAAACCTTGCTATAGTGGAAGGGTGATGAGGTATCCAGCCTCACTGAAGTGTTAAGAGCAACCCTTGCATTATGTTTGGGTGACAAAGATAAACCAAGGTGGTTAGCATGCCAATCAGGTTAGTCCTTTGTTGTATCTCTCCATAAGCATTATGAATTGAGTTTTGGTGAATTTGTGAGTTCTAGTAAACTGGTGTGGATTAATTATCTCCTACGCAAAGTTCAATTCTTTGTGTGGCTAGCTTGAAAACATAAAGTCAAAACTTTCGTTTTCCTCCAAAGGATTGGAGTTCTTGATGAGAAAGCCTCCACTGTGTGTGTTTTTTGTAAATTAGAGGCCGAATCTGTTGCACATGCACTCATTTATTGTCCTTTGGTTTGGAAGGTTTGGACCGGCCTATTGCAGTGGTGGGGAATGATATGGGTTGTGCTTAGTTTTGTTGAGTGTTTGTTGTATTGGTGGGCTGGTAACTGCCTCATAAAAGCTGAAATGAGGATATGGAAAGCTATTCCTTTGGTTGCTCTTTGGTCCATCTGGAAGTATCGGAATAACTGTTTGTTCAATAATATTCAGGCAGATATGGAGGAGGTACAAGTGTCAATCATCATCAGATTAGCTGTTTGGCTGAAGGTTTCATCTAAGGATTGTCAGTTTACTATTAATGATTTTTTTTATAACATCTAGCAGATTAGAGTTTGTTTAGGTGGCAAGGTTCGATGCGATTTATAATGACGACCATCAGGTTAAGGTGTAACAGTTGCAGATTTTACTTGTCATTGCCCTGGTCTATAATCTGCTTTATCCTAGTGTGCAGCAGCAGCTATTTTTGGTTTGGCCCTGGTTCTTGGTTTTGCTTCCTTTGGTTCATATTCTCTAGGTTGACCTTCTTCTTTATCTGTTTTGGTTGCAGTTCTGTGGTAAGGTGGCTGAGTTTACTGGTTGTTTTGCTGTGTTGTTGGTTCTGTTTTTTATGGGATTGTTGATATGCTGCCTGTTGGAGTTTGTTGTTGAGGTGTTTGTTTTGTTTCTTTGGTTGGTTCCTCTTTTTGGTTCGTACTTGGGTTGGTCTGCTTCTTTTTCTGTTCTGTTTGCAGCTCTGGTTTTGTTGTTGTGGGTTTGCTAATATGCTGGCTATTGGTGTTTGTTATTGGGGTGTTTGTTTTGTTTCTTTGGTTGGTTCCTCAGCATTTTTGGGGGTGCTAGCAAATGATAGGATGGGCTCTTTGGTGCCAATCTAGTTGAGATGATTTAGCCGATCGTGATACTTTTGCACTTGCCGATCGTGATACTTTTGCACTTGCCTCTCTTTATTGGTGTATTGTGTTTTGTACCTTGTACTGTATTCTTATATCAATAAAGTCACTTTTTTTCCATTCAAAAAAAAAAAAAAAAAAAAAAAAAAAAAAAATTGATTAGGAAAAAAAAAAAAACAAACAAACAAACTAGATTAGGTTCAAATTCAATTTTTTTATAATCAAATTCGAATTTAGATTTAGATTATGCCAAATCTGGTTTGAGCTTGTTCCATATAAGAGGCTTGACCGCAATCAATGAAATGTTAGATTGTAATTTAACAAAAAAAATCTAAAATATAAAGGGGTTAAAGGATTCTCATAATCCAAAATGCAATCAATTAATTTAAGTAAATGTTTTTATTTTTATTTTATGTAGATGGTAATTTAAATACGTGGTTTAAGGATTCTCATAATCAATTGCAATATTACATTGATAGTTTAATAAGTTTGTAATTTAGTTCAAAACAAAATCATTGGTAATAATCAATTGCAATATTACAATGACAGTTTAATAAGTATGCAATTTAAGTTCAAAACAAAAATCAATGGTAATTGGCAGTTAAATTTTAAATGGTTTAAGGATTCCCATAATCATATTTGCAATAATCTTGCAATGGTAGTTCAATAAATATGTAATTTAGGTTCAAAACACAATCAATGGTGATTTAAGTAAATGCTTTAAGTTGAAAACAAAAATTTCCTTGAAATAATCTTGATTATTATAACATTATTACAAAGATATTGTAGAGGATCCTATTCCCAAAAGACCAAATCGTTGTGTATGAAATTTTTATGCAAAAATTCTGTTTATATTGCATTACCTTTTCTGAAAATTTCAAATTACTTTTCTTTAACACTTTTATGATAAAACACAATGAACAAAAGCAAACCTTTTTAAACACACACAATTTTTTTTTTTTTTTAATAAAAAGAACTTCATTTCAAATGAAGGCAAAGATAAAGTTACTACCAGCGATGCATACAATAAATCCAACCCACAAGGTACTAAACAAGAGACAAACAAAGGCATCAACATAAAAACAACCCAATGTATCTGTGAAGTCTAAAAACAGCCCAATGTATTTTGAAGCAAAAGCAAGAAAAGAAGAAAAATCCTTCAAATATGTCTACTATAAAGTAGCAATCTTTGCACAATAAAACATTAAAACAACTAGCTAAAACCTAGGTGGTCATTAATCCACATTAGAGCAATCCAAGGCAGCCTTTATTTTCTGGACAGTGGAGCTGACAAGGGTATTGACAATAGCCACAGACTCCATGTTGAGTTGCTTTGAATGTAAGTGATTAGATACCAGAATCTGGAAAACCACCGTGAGAAGCGAACCACCGGACCTTTTGTTACCACCGCCACCTGTGCTCGTTGAAGCTGCTTTGTCATGATGATGAGGAGAAGGAGGAGGAGGAGGACGGCCATCATCCGAGATTATCAAGCCTGATGGAAGTATGGGTATGTTTGTGGAGTCATCGCCGCTTATTGCTGACTTGATGGCTGGGAAGTCTATTGGGGCATACACTATCACTGAACCCGCCATAGGCTCTATGCAACTCTCCTGAAGCATCAGAATGCTGTTATCATTGGAGGCGAACGACTGCTAATTTATGTACACTCTGTTAGTAACCATGCATTAAAAACAAATTGATAATTCAAATAGACAAGTGATCAACAAACATGAAAGCATTTTTAGATCTCACATGGAACCAAAAACTAAACTAGTTTATGTTTCATTCTCTGAATCAACCAAACAACTTCCATGACTTTGTAGTGACAAACTCAAGGGGGATTTGAATTGATGTTATGAGATTGTCACTCAAGGGGGATTTGAATTAGAGGATGTTATGAGTTCAACTCTCCTTAAGAAAAGTTGAATTAAAGGGATAAGCACTTGATACATTGTAAATAGTAGAAATGTTATTATAATATCAATTTCTATAAGCATAAAGAGTGAAAATGCGATAAAAACATATATATATATATATATATATATATAAGCATTTTTGTTTTTACATCTATGTTGAGTTATAGCTAAGTGCAAATATAAGACAATAATTTATTTATTTTTATTAGTAAAATAAAGCTTTAGTGATGACAATCAGAATACAAGACACATGACAAACATCAATAAAGACAGTGAATGTGAAGAGTATCAAAGCAGAACAAAACGATTCTACCTAAGTTGGCACTAAAAGGCAAGCCCAATCGATATTGTCTAGACACTACAACATAAAAGGGTTTTAGGGACCAAATCTTTATCTCCAATGCCAAAAACATTATTAAACCAATTACTATCGTCAAGAGAATTGTTACTAAAAGTTCGCTCCAAATTTTTTATATTAAAAAAAGACCTTTAGTGACAAAATTTTGAAAAATGTCACAAGATAAAATGATTTCATTCCAAAAGGATTCACTTTTTGAAATAAATGCACTCATAAGAAAAGTTGCATAAAATTATGAAATATGAGATAAATTAGACTAAAATTTTTTATATAGTCCTAAAGGAAAGGCATTATATGATCATTATTTTTTTTTTTTGATCGACAAAGAAAATCTTTATTGATGAAAGTATACAAGAAGGATACAGGACATCAATAAAGAGGAACTTGGAGCTGGCTGAAGCTCCAAGCTCCAAAATCAGCAACACACAAAAAGGAACAGAAAAGACTCAAGCAGACTACGAAACAACTAAATTGCAGTGAACATAAACACCAAAACTGAGCATAAACTTATGATCATTATTATAAGTCAAAAGTAATATATTGATATATTTTCCAAACCGCTTGGATTTTTTCTAGACTCCCAAATAACTTTCTCAAACCATTTTTTTGAAAAGAAGTCCAAAATCACGCAAGATCCAAAATCAAAGAGTTTTTATTTTTTATTTTTATTTTAATATTTAACTTTAAAAAAAATCTTCTTTTTAGAAAATAAAAACTTGGCAAGTGCTATCCTAGATCCAAAAAAGGCAAAATAAGAAAGGAAAAAAATAAAATTCATAAGCTAACAACTGTTTCGTTGAGAATAAATAAAAAATGTTTGTCTCGAAAACAGAAAGAATGAGAAATTGGGTGTTACTAACAACTGCTTCATCTAGTGTTACTCAACAAATGAAAATGAGTTTGTCAAAAGACACCTGGAAGTTGGGACAAAAATAGGCATTTTGTACATGTGAAAAAATGAAAAAGGGCAAGACACCCTAGGAAGAAGTATGAAAGGTCATGGAAGTGCAAAAAAGGGCACACAATTTTTAGAAAATGGGAAGCTAACCAAGTTGGAACAAACATAGTGATTCAACAAAGTGACATAAGAATGGATGAAATGCTAAGATAAATGAAGGTAGATTAGAAAAGTTTGCAGAACATATTTCAAATGATTGAGAATCTGTTCGGAGCAAATTAAAATATTATGAATAAATTATAAATATATCTCAAGAGGTTTGGATAAAATATAAATTCTCCTTGTGGTTTAAAAAATTACAAACTCCTTCTCTTTTGATGAGCCATTTAACACAGTTAACATACAAGATAAAATTACCATATTACCCATCATTCACCTTGCCAAACCACCTCCCACCCTACCTAGCTAGCCCTTATCAATACTTCCCCATATTCAACCACCTTCAACTGCTAGCCCCACCCCATTCCTACATTCTCTCGACAATCTCAACCTCATGCCCCATAAACCATCCTTGTAGCACCCAACTGCCATTGGAAACCCCTAAACCCACCATTTTGTTTTTAATCAATCTTCTTTATAGTTCACTGAAATATTTTTTGGGCATAAAATAAGAAAATTGGTATCCCACCAACATTTTTTTTTATCAACAAAAGAAAATTTTATTGATGAAGAAACATACAAAGTATGGGGACATACATAAATAAAGAGGAGGGTGCAAAAGGCATCACAGTGAAACACCAAGATCCCAACTAGGTTGGCACCTCAATGCACACGAAATTATTTGCTAGCACCAACACCAAGCTCTAAGTTGGTGAGAAACCAACAGACAGAGCAAAACAATAAACAAAACAAAAAAACACAAGAAAACACAAAGCTGCAACACCTGAGGTTGGTGTTAGCTTAAGTTTGGGTTGATTTCTTAGTGCCTTTGTTGTCCTCTTTATTGATGTATTTCTAATATGTAAATATGCAGTTTCATCAATAAAATTTCCTTTTACTGATCAAAAAAGAAAGAAAAAAAGAGGGGTGTTGAAAATTGAATCCACAATTTTCTAGAATATAATTAAATTCGATATATATATATATATATATTTTTTGAAACAGCCAAAAGGAATTTTATTGATAATGATCAAACAGAAAAACATTGACAATCATCAATAAAAAGGAAGGAGCAAAGAGCACAAAAAACCTAACAGCAGAAGTTGGTAAGACACCAACCTAACAGCACAAAAAGACCAACAGATGAACTCCAACAGCACAAAGACACCAACAGATGAACTCCAAGAAAAACCATTAGCACACAGAGATCTAAATTAGGCACACAGGACAGAATTACTCCCCAAACAGTATCTGACTTGCTTTAAATTGGTCAGAAAGTCCTGGACAGTAAATTGGATATATTGACTATAATCTTTTATGTAGCTTTATTTATGGACGTTCTATGGTAAATATTGCAAGTTAAAAAGGCATATTTGAGTAAGTATTTTTATATTGAAAAAGATCTGTAAGGTTCCTATTTTTTTTTTTTTTTTTTGATCAGCGATCTGTAAGGTTCCTATAATCGTATATCTCCATGCATACTCATTTTCTAGCAAATTTTAATCTCCATGCATACTCATTTTCTAGCAAATTTTAATCTTCTATTGCCCCCAAAATATTTCACAGCATATGACTGAACATTTATTTATTTTTTTTCTTTACTCATTGAAGAAGATATTAAATTGCGAATCCAATGAATAACCGCTACAACACTCCACACAACAATGGAAATTAAGTAGAAATGCAGTTACCTGGATAATCGATATACAATTTCCTGGGTGAGTTCCATACGAGACATGTGCAATTTCATTCACTGGGTTTCCATTCGAGAGCACATCCCACTATTACATTGATAAAAAGAATAAAATTTAAACACTTGAGGCCACCCATGCAATGCATTATTATGATTGATTTTCTAGATGAAAATTGTTTGTTACTATCCTAGTAGAATATAAAATGAAATGAACCTGATGTCGTGTTTTCTCGTCTGTGAAGAAATTGAAGAGAGTCTCGGATGATAGAGGGAGCCACAGAGAGGAAGCAGCACTGACAATCATGCCACTGGGTTGACCTATTTCATTGTTTTGGCGAACGGAGACTCGAATTCCACTATTGTTCAGTTCTGACAAATGAGGAAAATCTAGTTTACCTGACATGCTCAGCATTTTCCAAAAATTCTTTACCATTCTCTGGGATAGGTCCATTATGCTTTTTCTTCCTTCTGGTATATCGAACACTGAGTTAAAAACAGAAGTTGAATCACGAATAAATCCCCTGTGATTTATAAAAAAATATATGTAACTCTATCACATTCTCAAAATTACATTCGATCTCTTGAAGTTTATATCTGCGTAATAAAATGCCCTATCTGTAATCTACCGTTAGGTCAACAAATGGAATCCGATGATATCAACAATTGTATTTTTTAGCTACTTTTTTTTTTTTTTTTTTATCACCTAGGATATAATCTAATGTATTATTAATTAATTTACATTAGAAGATAGTTAGCAAAAATTAATTTAACTTTTGTGACAACACTACTGTGCAACTAAACTAGACTTCTTCTAAATAATATACAAGCCTCCCAAACAATGCATTGCTTGAAAATAGCAAAAACAATGTCTAACCCTAATTCTAATCTCTCTCTCTCTCTCTCTCTCTCTCTCTCTTCCATCACCATCATTCCCATTGCCACATCATCTTCCTTATAACTCCATTCCTGAATGGAACTACCACCAGGACCTCACCATGGCACTACCACTCCACCAATCGCCTTCCACCAGTGACTCTATATGTCTTCAGCCGGGGTCGAGGGAGGGTAGGGCTGGGGTGGTTTATTTTTTTGTTGAATAGAAAGTATTATTTTATTAAGGTTAGTAAAACATTACCAAAAAGAAAACAACACAATAAAAAACTAATAATAATGAGTATGTTTGAGAGTTTGCAAAAAGTAAGTACCCCCTCCGAGTTCATGTCTAGGTAAGGATGCCCCTACTAAGTATGCTAATCTCTCAGACATCCGATGAAGAGTGGCGATCCATCTGTGGGCTCCATATGCTAAACCACCACATACTAAATCTCTATAGAGACGATGAGTTTGGGATTTATCGTCCACTTCCACGTGTTCCACCCATGTAACCTAACAATAGAAGAGGGAATATAAATTACAAATCAATAACATGCTATTTATGGCATTTTTTTGTCTTTTTATTCTACAATCACTGACCTCACAACATCCATTAGGCTTATCTTGAAGCATGCAACCGGAAGGAAGCCTCCACGATCGTAGAGGCGAACCATGAGGGTCTGGGTCTTTTGATAATTTGGAGCAATCATATTCATATGATACATCAACCATCATCCACACACTTGCCTCCACTTCTCTACAGTATCGGAGGAAGTAGAATTCTCGAGGCGCCACAAGAGGTGATAATATATGCATTTGTTCGTACATCTGTATCAATTAATTGTTATGAAGAATGAAAATCTCATTATATATATATATATATATAAATGGATGTTTAGTACTACTACTACCTACCAGCTGCAAAGATCCGGCTTGATCTCCCAACATTCTGGTATCAACTACTTCAATTGTCCTTGCTTTTGTAACTATTGTAGGAAAAAGATCCACCCATTTATTCTGCATAATTAAAGCATTTACTCACATAATGTAAATATATAGTAAGTCTGTAAGAAGAAATAAAACATGTGATATGCATGATAGATAAGAGAGGAGGGAGGGAGAGTTATGAGGGTGAAACCAAACAAACCGAGTCTAGAAACATGTCGAGCAAGTGCACTGCACTCATTGGAACCACACCGGAATCTTTGGATGACTCCATCCGGGCAGTGGAACTTTTAAAGTGAATAGACCTTGGGAAAAGCTTGTTATAGCTGTCACGGTGAAGAAGATATGATGATCTTCGGCTGTCACCATCATGATCAACCGGGGAGGAGGACTTGATCCACACCGGTTCATTTACTTGCAAAAGCCTGATCAGTTCGTCCATGGCACTTACTGCTGTATCAATCATGGCCATTTTTTCCATCTCAAATTTGTTGTTCCCATAATCATTTATTAACGGGTATTGCATCTGTTGTTGCTTTGTGGAATTATTGTTATTGTTTGAATTCCCAATATGGTCATCAAGTTGCTGAAACTGATGTTGAAGCTGATCAATGGAATTAGAAGAAGAGCCTCCCAATATCCCTTGACTTGCTGGGAAACCTAATATATTTGTCTGTGATTGGAAGTCCATTGAGCTCAATGATTGAATTTGCGCAACTGGTTTTCCCAGGGAGTTGGCAATAAGGTGGGACATTCTTTCATACTACAAAGCCAAAGCATACAACAATCAATCAATAAAAACAACGAGAAAAACAGCCGATCAAAAAAAAAAATCATTTTAAGTTAATCATAGTGGAATAGAAGAATAAAAATTGTCCAAAACCCTAATTATTCTTTTTCTAGCCGCGAGTAAAGAGCAATATATTGATGCAAAAAAGAACAACCACGACAATCATTCCAACCCTAAATTAACTTTGAAGGAACAGATGAACTGGCCTCTTGTTTTAAATGGGAATTTTGCATCTTCAGTTTTTGCACATCAAGTTGTCTTTCTTCTTCCACAAAGGGTGGACCACCACAAGTCGGGCATATCACATTTTTGAGAGCCTCTCTGATTGCAAGGTTCTCGCATTGGATTTTTTCATTCTCTACCTTAAGAGCATTGTTATCAGCTCTCTCATTCTGAGCCTGAAAATTATTGAAAGATGAATCACCATTATGTTGAAAATTTTGCCTAAAACACACATGCTCTTGGACGTAAGCAGGAGTTCAGAATGATAAAAAGAGAGCACCTTTGTTTGAGTCCTCTTGTTCTGAAACCAAAACTTGATCTGCTTAGGCTCAAGCCCCAATTCCCTGCCCAGTTGACGCCGCTGATTGTCATCTGGATGTGGGCATTCCTTGAAGAACCTTCATCCAAAAAACACATTAATTAACTATATATCAAGATTTGCCGATCAAAAAAAAAAAAAAAAAACTATATATCAAGATTCAAGAAATCAAGAGAGAGAGAGAAAAGCAAGAGGAAAGTAAGAGTCCATTGATAGATTTAAATAGATCAGACCAATCACCAATAAGAAAACTATGTTGAATTGAAAAAAACATTGGCCAAACAAATTCAAAACCAATGAATGCATCACCAAAGATCCATTTAAAAGAGTTTGCATCAGAAAGTTGACGAAAAATGTATAACAGTACTGCGTAAATACTTGGCGGCCGTAGATTAATGATAAAAATATCCTTTGATGAATTCATTGTCATTAACCATAGACACACAACACAAAGACATGGATGAAAAAAAAAAAAAAAAAAATCATTAATTAATCAAATGCAAAACCCTAAACGTGATACCGAATAGAGAAAGAGAAAAAAATAAAATAAAAACTACCATTAAGACAAACCAATGATAATCAATCCAAGGCCCTAGAGTCATAAAATTCATATCGATTATCTCAAGAAAAACCAGAGATTCCAAGATGGCCATAGACATGAAACCTAAACAAACTCTTCAAAAAACAAAAAGGATCTTACGCCTCAAGCTGTTGTATCTGATAAGCAGTGTGGCGATGATAGTGTTTCTTGTTTTTGCGAGAACTGGAGCCTGCCTCTTGTTCTTCTCCAGACCCATTAGCATTATTACTTCCATAACCAACAAAGTCCATCATTTTCATTTCACTTTCTCTCTCCTGGTTCAGACAAGAATATGGGTTGGTTAGCTTAATCACTCAGCCTCATGTATATATATATCATTCTCACATACTACTACGTGACGTAAGAGTTGAAACAAGAGTACCCCACTGTATTTAACCTGGTTTTTGACATCGTATGCACACCAAGATGTACATTGTCTGTCTGTCTATATAGAATTTCCACAAAAGGACAATTTAATCTCATTTACAAGCAGGAACCAACGAATCCCATTAAATTAGCCACATTAAAGACAATATTTCTCCTTCAAAAAAAAAAAAAAAATGGAAAAAAAAGACAGAAAGATGATATTTGGTTTTTCTTTTAATTAAAAAAAAGGGTCATGTGTTACGAGTTGACACTCCGAGTAACATAACATCCTAAAAATCTTAATGTGAACACGGATTTGCTACATATAAGGAAGCAACCAAATATGTCAAAATATTCAATTCCATTTTTTTTTAATATACTTTTTACATTTTTTTATTTTTTTGTGGAGCAAAATTTAGTTGGATTTTCTATGTTAAAAAAATAAAGGTAAATTATAAACACACCCATTGAGATTTGATTAAAAAAAATATATTGTAACTTATAATTTTAGAAATTACATCTTGTCCATTTAAATTTTTAATCACCTAACAAATGACTCATTTTATTAATAAATTATTATAAGCCGATTAATAGTTTTTAATTATGTTATAAATATATTTTAATTAATAATTTAGATAATTTTATTGTTATATAAAAAAATAGTTAGGAATTTTATTTTTTGTTTTAATTTTGTTAAATAAAAAAAGATACTTATAATTTCTAAAATCAGACAATCTATATTTTAATCAAAATTCAGAAGTATTTTTATAATTTATCCCCAAAAAAAAAAGCCAAATATGCTAAAGATTAAAAATGATAATCTGTCTGACAGATGGGTTTTCACTTGCCAAATTAGTGGGTAACGCTTGGATAACAGAACACACAAGTGCTCTCTCTCTCTCTCTCTCTCTCTCTCCCCATACATTCGCAAACTATTAAAATACGTGAATGAATATAAATTTGTTTTTAGAATAATTGAATTTACAATTTTATTAAGGTCATGTGGGGCTCACCATTTTAGCCTAATTACATTATGTGTTTTGTTTATCCACTCTCAGAGTGTATGAATAAATTTATTTTTCTATTTATCGAATGCATGGCCACAAAATTTAAAGGAGTTGGATTTCTTTTATTCCATAATCTAGATCGGAGGGTGCTGTATGGGCTAGTGGAACCCATCATGAGTTTTGTTTTGATATCTAAACTGTTCATTTTATAAAAAAATTTATTTATATCATCAAAAAAAGAAAAAAAGAAAAAAAAGTGATAATCGCAACCTATTCAATTTATTATATTTGTGTTAGAAAACATAAAATAAAATAAAAACGACAAGTGTATTTTCATTCATTTTTTGTGTGTGAAAAACATAATAAATTGAACGAACTATAATTATTGGATTGATCTCTTCTTTTGTGAATGATATACACAAAAGACTTTACAAAGTAGGGAATGATATGCTTTGGTGTATTGTGTTTAGGATTATTTATTTATTTATTTATTTTTATTTCTTTCTGCTTTTTGTTCTTTTGCTTTGGTCTCTGTCTGTTATCGGTCTGTTGGTTGAGTTCTCCTCAACTAGCTTTTGACAAGTGCAAGCACATGATTGGGTGGCTTTTCTTGCGTTAATCTAGTTGGGATGAGCATGGCTCATTATGATGCTATTAACACTGTTTTTGTCTATCTTTATTAGTGTAAGATATAAAAGTTTTATCATTAATTCTGATTCAATAAAATTTATTTTTGCTGATAAAAAAAAAAAAAAAAAAAACATGAGGGACAACAACCTAATTGGAATATGTCTTAAGCAATTATGTTTATATCCTAATCTGTTTCTATTGATGTAATCTTGTTTTTATGCTTGTACTATATTATTGTTAAAGGTTAAAGGCTAGTAATAAAGTTTGGGTTTTATTAAAAGTTTGGGTTTAATTAAGGCTATAAGGTTAAAGGCCAGTAATAAAGTTTGGGTTTTATTAAAAGTTTGGGTTTAATTAAGGCTTTGTTTGGAATATTTTTTTTTAGGCTATTTTAGTCACAAAAAAGACAAAATAGACTAAAAAGCCAATAAGACAAACAATAGTTTGGATGGCCCTGTTATCAACCAACAATAGGTTGTTGACGGTACATTGATATCTTTTTTTGATCGGTAAAAAAAGAAACTTTATTGATGTAAGAGCAAAGTACAAGGTACAAAATCAAAAACATCAATAAAAAGAGACAGTTGCAAAGGCATAACGATGAGCCAAATCATCCCAAATATATTGACACCAAAAAACTTATCATATCATTTGCTAGCACCCCTGCCAAAAAGCATCACGATACATTGATATCTTGTGATGCAGATTTAAATGAGATTTGATATATCATAAGAATTCTTAGATGTTTTAAGGTGATTTCAGGGTTAAGGATAAGTACTTTTGGAATTCAAAAAACACTCGTTAGGAAGACACTTCTTGAAAGATTTTGTATACATGTAAGAATGTCCCGAGAAGGCAAACAGCATGGTCATGGGAATGATGGAGGTGGATGGCAACCAGTGGTCCGTCGTCATGGTGGCAGGGGAGTATGGAGCAGCAGGGCAGACGCAGCCATATACTCTGTTTTTGTGGATAATATTCCAGAAGCTATGGGGACTAGAGGGTTATACAATATCTTCTCCAACTACGGGGTAGTCATGGATGCTTTTATTCCAAACAAGCGAAGAAAGATGACACGATCTCGTTTTGGCTTTTACGTTACAATTGCTCTGTAGCAGCGGACATGGTAGTACAAAAAGCACATGGGCTTTGGTGTGATGACAGAGCATTGAAGGTCAAAATGGCGGAGTTTGAAAAGGTGTTTGGTCCGAAGCCCAGGTCGAGACAAGTACCACAAACAAGAATGGCTACAAATGACAGTCTCATGGTTACTACTAGATATCAAAGGACCAGGTCCTTTGCTGAGGTTGTGAGAGGAAGAGGTATCCAAACTGCTGCTATCCGAACTATTCATGCTGTTGAGGAAGGTAATGGTTGGTTGTACGAAAGCGTAGTAGCAAGATTAAAACCATCCTTATCAGTGGTTGAGTTTAAGAAGGAAATAGTAAGGTAAGGCTTTGGGGATGTTAAGGTGAGACTCGGTGGGGGAAGAGATATGGTTCTAACCTTCACCTCAGTTGAAGATATGAACGTCAAATTTTAGGAAATGCAAGAGTGGCTCAACGCATGGTGTGAATCAGCTCATATATGGCGGCATGGGCTGGTGCTCGAACAAGAACGACATGTCTGGCTAAGTTGTTATGGAGTTCCACTGAATTTGTGGAGTTTCTCTACATTTAGCAGCATTGGCAAGATCTGGGGTGCAGTGGATGCTATAGATGATGATACTCTTCGGCTTAATTCCCTTCACTGTGGTAAAGTGAGGATAGCCACGACTAGTATGGATACTATTAATCACACCATTAATCTGGAGTGCAAAGGTACACTATATCCTGTGCGGGTGTGTGAGGAACAAAATTATAGTTTCTAAAACTTTGCAGGATCAATGTGTATGCCAATCTAATAAATGGAAGAATGGAGTGGGGTCACCTTCAGAGGCAAGTGCAGAGGCCCAGATCATGGACAAAAGCAGCAGGTATGAGGAAGAAGATGACGATGTGGAGGTCCAGATGGACAAGAAGTCAGATCTACGGGGTGATGTGGAGGTCCAGCTGGGCAAGAAGTCAGATTCACGGGGTGATGTGGCTGGAGTGGGTACTATTGTATCACCTATTATTACAGATGCACTAGAGGGGGTGATAGACTGACAGATGTCTCAGGGGTAGCTGAAACTGATATGATGAAGGAAATGTCAACGGAGGGTGGCGCACGCGTAAATCAATTGGCAGAGGTAGGGATGAGCTGCAAGCAGTGTGATGATAGTGTCAGGCGTAGGGTAGATGGTGATGTATATACTCCTGGGTTCATTAGAAGTTTAAGTGGGTCTGAAAGTAATAGGCTAGGTATTCACCTTGAAGTGGCTCTTGATGGGGCCCAAATGGCAGGTGGGTTGGTTGGGTCGGCCCAAAGAACTGAGGGGCTAGTTCAACTTAGTAAGTCTAACTTCCAAGACCCAATTACTTTTCTAGAGGGGCTTGATCAGTGTGTTAACCGTAACACAGTTGGTCCAAAGAGTTTTTTAGCCCATACTACAACAACATCCGTCTGTCCAGCAAAGAAGGAAAAAATGAAAGGAAAAGCACTACCAGTTTCAACAAAACAGTTTCAGACGCAGCAAATGAAAGGGAAATTTGATGTTTCCACGGGGTTGGGGGCATCTTCATTGAATTTGAGGAAAGGAGCAGTGTTCAGGTCGGCAGTAGCGGCCATCTCACTATCAATGGCAAGCAGAAATAGTAGAGGAAGAAGATTATTGACGGAGGCAGAAGCTTCAATTCAAATAGGCAAAGCCCTCGGTCATGAGTGTGAAGGCAAAGAAGAGGAGGTGCTTAGTAAATTGCATGATCTTGAAGCTCAAGACCAACAAAGAGCAAGGCCGGGTGAAAGGGATACGAGTTAGATTAAAATGATCGGCTGGGTAGAGGGTTTTCATATGCTTATGAAGATACAATCCTGGAATGTGAGTGGAATTGGAAGGCCTGAAAAGAGGAGACAAATAAAAAAAAGTCTTGCAGAGAGAAAAGTGGATATTGTGCTATTACAAGAAACCAAGAAGGCAGTAGTTGATTCTACCTTGGTTAGGTCTATGTGGCCTGAGGATCAATTTGATTTCATGGCAGTAGATGTGATTGGTCAAGCTGGAGGGCTACTATGTATTTGGAACCCTGAGGTGTTTCTCCTAAAGGATTGCTGCAGTACCCAGAATTTCATCCTTTTATCAGGTACATTATTTTCCAGTTTTGATTGTG